AGTCTGGCAAAGTTAGGGATATCAGCAAGGATTTCTCCATGTTTGTAGTCACCAGCGACGTATGCAAAGGTTGTTCGACTTTCCATTTCCTCTTTTATTTTGCCATTGAATAGGTCGTCCAACGAGCAATGAAAGGCGCCCAAAATTGCGGTATTGAGATTTTTCCAGGTGACAGATTTGTGGACCTGGACTATGGCGATGACATCACTTTGCTTAGAGAAAATCCAAAAACCGCTTAGCGATGGAAGAGTCTAACTATGGCCTGTATTCCACTCCAAGCGAATATAAAGTACCACTCCAGGATTGCAGATGCCCATGCCTGCCCTCACCATAGCTGGTGACGCCCTAGAATAAGTCATCTGCTTTTCTTATATGGGGAGCTGCATCACAGCTGACCACGGTGTTGGAGATGAAGTTTTACAACGGAACGCAATGGCCCGACTTAAATTAAGCAGACTGACACAGCTATGGAGTTGTCACGATGTCGTTCACAGGCTGAAGCGTATGGTGTGCACTGCCTCTGTCTGTTCCGTTCTCTTGTACTGCTGTGAGACCTGGACTTTTCGCTCGTAAAACATGAAGCGATTGTTAGTTGTCACAACAGTTGTTTGCGTAAGATGGCTGGCGTGAAATGGCAGCATCACGTAAGAAACACAATAGCCCGAGGCCGAGAGCTTGGGGCAAATATACATCGCCTCCAAAACATTATTCGCAGACACCGCATGAGTTGGCTCGGCCACGTAGTACGCATGCCAGTCTTTCGCCTTCCCTGTAGTGCGTTATTCGCGATACCCGGAAGCGACTGGAAAAGGTGCCGCAATGGGCAACCAATGACGTGGAGTAGGAAAAGGAAGCAGGCAACCTCAAACTGTATCCGTTGAACCGGCCCGCATTTCACGATGGGGAGCACGCGATTCGGACTGTCAGTTGTTGGAAACGCTGGTTATGGCGAGCTACAGACACCACTATAGAGTTTTGTTCAACCAACTCAGTTGTTGTTGTCTAATCGAAACTATAATAAAACTGCAAAAAGCACAATATGGAGCGCGTAAAACAAACAGGTCGTTTCTCTCCCGCTATTGTATTTTATTTCCCCGATTTGTCACGGTTCTGACTGCACATTAGCTGTAATCAGATTGTGAACCTACTACTACTATTATTAGTACTACTACTATTACTATTACTATTACTACTACTAGTACTATTACTACTCCGGACGCACTCTCTCCGTCAGTTCCTCCGTAAACTGGAAATTCTTGTACCAGATCAATACAATGCCAAGACAATGTGCCAATTCAACTAACGCTCCACGTTGACATAAATCGTCGCATTGAATTGTGCAGCAAGTCGTAAGAGGCTCACGGATGAAGAAACAGTTATTGTGTTTTAACATGATAGGCCACGCGCTTGCTTTTGGGAAGCTACATGCTGACTGAAATCATTGGACCATCGATAATTTAGACTGCGACAGAAGTTTTAATAGAGACGAACAAAGTGGGTTGTGCACTATAGTTTCTGTATTGACCACGCTAAAGATGCCTTGGTGTTCGTGAACAGCTCAAAGGTTGATTTTCCTTTACAAGCGGATGGATTACTGAGATATATTATTAGGAATTGAATGACCCGTAGAACTACAGGATCAAACCAAAACAAAGCCAAAAGTCAACTACGATACTACACAAATAGATATCAAAATGCACAAAAAGTAATGCAAGGAAACACTACGCAGTACAGAAACCGCCGGATCTTTACAATGTGTGTGATAAGCGTGCAAATCACTGTACTTGAGGCTAACATAGAGATCACAGAAACCAGGGTCTACGCGCGGGTTCACAATGGCGCTTAGATTGGGTCACATAACCACACAAAATAACGTCTTAGCTGTCAGCGCATATAGGGTACGTTGTAGTATCATTTGAGTGGCTTAAAAGGGGCAATTGCCATTAGAAAGCTGTGTGCGAATGTGGGTATGGACGAACGAAAAGCAACTGTGGCACATGGGACAGGTTACGCTTATGGATGGATAAGTAAATAAATACATTTTATACATAGCCCGACCGGCGGGATAAATTCCGCAAAGCAAAAATCAATCAGGTGTAAGAGCTTGGATTGGGTGAAAACCGTGGGCGCCAGCGAATCTGAAGAATAACAAGGTTTGGCAAGCAGATACCGATCGGATTTCAGCAGATGGCGGATGTCAATTGTTGTAATCCAGTGCATTACTCCAATATCCAAATGTGCTATTGCCTTGTAATTTTTCATAAAGCAATGCGTTGGTTCAGTGTTAAATAACTTGTGCCTACACGAAAACTTCTCGGTTGATGTTAGCATAAGCCTAGTATTATTACTTCCATCTACTCCCATCAAAATGGGGTACACAAGTTTTACTCGAATTTCCTTGTTTCGATAGAAAGTGAGCTACTACAGAGGCAGTATGCACCTGTAGATGGCTAGCCACAAAATATGACAAAATTACCAATCAAAATCTTAAGGTGATTCAAAATATTCTACAAACGGATGCTAAACACAGCTGGCACAATTCCTGCGTTTACTTCTTTTGAGAGATGCTTGTGCAGTCGTTGCGGAACGACCATTGTTAAACTGTCTGGGACCATTTAGATGGACACGGTCAGTTTACGTTCCGCTAGACGCCGCCAAACTTTACAAATGCACCGCCGCCAATCAGGTTGACGTACCACATACGGGTGTACCAAATTGGTCCTGTCGGTTACCCAATTGGTGCAAAGGTGTAGCGGACGATTATTCGGTACGCGATACGCATATCCTCTAATTAGAAATGCTCCTGTCTGGTAAGTGTATCGTGGCAGATATATAACTTGGTTGTGCATCAAAACCTCATTGTAATACTGCCCAAGCGCTATAATGTTTGCTTCACAATGCTTGCTAATCCTTGGTATGTTTCGTGATATAATTTGAGCCTGCACTTTATCCTCCGATACGGATTGTTTAATGATAATATTCCAACACGGAACTGTGTATTCTATGCATATCATCTGGTTTCATTCGGCAAGTACTAGATTAGGAGTCAAAACATAATGCAGCTTCTTATCTGATTAGGTTATGTGCACATCACAAAAGTTGCAGAGCATGCGATTAACTTAGATGAACGCATTGACATATAAGTTATTGCTTTATTAAACACAAATATTTTGTTGGATTCAGCTGCTCATTGCAGTTAAGTTTTGTGTCCAAAAACCCGCATGAACTATACATATATGAAAAACGATAATAATATTCCAACACTGACCGCCGAAATAATCGCTAGGATAGTGGAAATTCATGTACATTCAAGTGCATGGCATTCAAACTGCACTGATTTAGAGGAAACGTTACGGTGGTCTAAGCAATTTGCGTAGACATTCCGAGTAATTCCTTTCAGACTAAGCTAGAAAGGCAAATGTTTCTTATTGATTTTACCTCTTTCGTTTAACAGCAACTGCGTTTGTGCCATGCGAACTGAAGCGTCTACATTGTAAGTTATCATTAGTAGAGTGTATATCTTCAACTGACCCCTCTAAACCCAGCGTTCATTGAAGTTTATATTCTCCAATGGGTCGATTGTGACTAACTTATTGGTTGCATCAAAATAAATTGCAAACTTTCATAACAATAAGCAGTTCTTGTCTGCACGATATCTTTATATAATAGTCCGTTTTTCAATGTATATGTCATTTTCGCTTGTCTTAACAGTCATACAAATAACAGGAATAATCCTGAAAAATGGCAATACGTTACCATTTGCAAGTAAACAGGAATTTGAAGGCCTTTCAGCTGGTAGCCATTTGGAAGATATCTGCAACAAGGTAAAAAGCATTGCACTGAGTTCTTTTTCACAAGCTCATAGTAATGGCATAAACTTAAAATCGATCTAGAAAGAATTTGAATTTTCCAAAATATTAGGGCTATTTTTTTACCTTGATTCAAATAGCGACTTCATGTTTGGACGTGTGGGCTATGTGGGCTAAACTTTTAACCCAATACCTATCGAAAATCTTTATTTGCCATACGATTTCAGCTCCGAGCCACAATTTCATCAAACATAGGGGGGACAAACGATACAATTGGATGTAGTCTTTCTTCATTAACTGGCCGACCCGGAAGCAATCACGTCATTGTCAACCTAGAGACCAAAGGATCAGTTGAATCACACAAATTTGCATCGGAATTGTTTGGGGAGTGTGAAAAACGGAGGACTAACTTAAACGTCATGAACTTAAACCTTCAACAACCGTTCGGTAAATTCATCTTACTTGTTCAAATGAATTTTGTAAAGTTTACGTTTTGTCTTACTTCAACCATCTTCGTAAAACAATTGCGTTGCACTAACTAATAACTCAATTAGGTAATATATCAGATATTTCGCAGTTATCAGCTACTTAAATAATATGATGACAGTGTCTATTGTCACACTTTATTTGACCTAACTATACCTTCAGATGGGCATATATCTGTTTTACGTTTTATCCTTTCAACAAGCAATCTGTTTTCTCAATTATTTCGTAGGCGCTGTCAACAACATAAGTCGGACAAGTAAGTTATTTAACCAGAGCTAGATTCACAGCAAATAGTGGCTACTAAATTACACAAGTAGGCAAAAACTACACTATTCCTCAATTATTCTCGGTTCTGCACTGAGTGACTACCACCGCAGTCACAAACGGACTGAAGTTAGCCCGTGGGAACTGACGCAACAATACTAAGCAACACATCTCACATCATTCACCAAATGAGCACTTTAACACAGCTGATCACTCTTGCGATTGAACGTCGCTCAATTCCCTGTATTAGGACTATGATTTCCACATTGGCGCTAAAACTTCTTGGCCAATCTATTAGCGGTTTTCGCTAGGATTGTTAGCCTGGTACACCGCCATGAATAGTTAATAATGAAACAAGCAAGCAACCAAACGCACATACACGTTTTTCACTGCCAAACAAGATCATTCGTTGTACCATAAAGACAGCATACAACATTTCACAAGAGTTTTGTATCCTTGAATCCCTTATGTTGTCAATCCAATTTAGCCATCCGAATTGCCGTGAGATTCGTCGGAGATGATTCAACGGGCGAATGGCACAGCGTATATGGCAGTGCAAATGAGGTGATGCGTATTGCAGAAGAGACCTGCTCGAAAGTAAGCAACGGCTTGGAGTGCATTTGTAGACACATTTCGCAGTGGTACTAAGCGGGGTGACTCACAAGGTTTGGAGGACGGCGGTGCCCAAATAGAATTCTCGAGCCACTGTAATTGCTTGCAAGATAAGGCACCGTTAACTCGCAGATCATAAGAGTCCCGTCAGCAAACACACATGACGCGCAACGTTGCTCAAGTCGCAATTTGTTTGATAGTAATCATTGTTTTTTTGATTTCGCGTAATCGCTACAGCTTGACTGAAAATATGTGCAATCGTCAACACAATTCTACCATTTGTCCAACCACCAAACTTGAATTGGCAGAACAAACACAGGCTAATATTTATCACGTTATGGATCCAGTTGACTATATTTTATGCACCCGGTTAATATAAAAGCTATGGCGTTTCTTATTAACTAATTTAATGAATACGGTAAGTTGATAGACGGTTAATCTTTGTGGTGACATTGGGCGAGCGCAGCACGTACAGCTTGGTATGTACTGGATATTAATTTAGGCGCAACTCCCCACGCACTTGGTAGCTTATGAGTACACTCGTCTTAGAGCAAGGTGGATTCATAAACAAATCACTAAAATAGCAAAATTAAGGATGATTTTAAATTTATGCCCCATAAACCAAAAGCTGTCAAACACTATGAATACAATTTTCTTTTTTATCGTGGCAATCAAAATATTGTACTTTCCTCTCCGGCTGTTTTCATCTACTAGTATGAGAAGAAAGCAAATACTACGCAAATCTCGCACGATAACAACTTCACTTGCGCTGTAACCGGTCCACACCGGGGACATGTGAAAGGGGAATTTATCTTGTACGTCAAGTTGGACGAACCGGACGAAATAAAGGTAACAAAAGAGGCCCTGGAGAAGAGAAACATAACGCAAATCGGTTACGACATCACTGACTTGGTAATTAAAATATTATGTGCTACATCCTAATGTCAGTAATAAAGCACTCAATTGGAAATCGATGTTTTCGTGCTGGTGTAGACTAAACATAAATTATTTTTTGCGAAATCTATCATCAGCCTTATTCGTGTAGATGGTAGTAATTTTTACAAATGGGCGCACACTGCTGTACCTGAATACCAATCGCCTTTGCTGCTTCAACGAGACTCTACTCGCTGACCGAGGGAAACTGCTACTGCTGGTTACACTTTCTACTGGGACGAGAAGACCACTACACCACCACACAAACCTGGGGTCCATTTTGCCCTATCCGACGTCGCAAATGGCCAGCTTGTGGCAAAGTCCACTGGAATCATCCCACGACCGAGGACTTTCCATCTGCGATTTAGTAGTTGCAAGTTTGCCACTTTAATTGGCACGTATCTTCACACCACGTTTTATTCTGCTGACGGTACGGCCTGTGCCGAGGATCGATCGAGTATGCATACTGGGTTACTTCAGCTCGCGCAGTGGATGAGATGCTTCGGTGTGGACAGACGTAATCGATCCATATGGTATAGGCACACTCAATGGGGACTGTGGTCATCGGCTCTCCCTGTACGCTACTCTTGGTATGACGTTCACGAACACAGTTTGCACTGTGTGCGGATGAATTAGCTACTTGGACGCACCCACGGTGTGGTCAAGCTCAGCTGCTCAACCATACCATTGTAGGCTAGAGTGACCTGCGTGAAGTGCGCAAGACAGTTTTAATATGTGGGGCAAATTGTGACACTGACCACGAATTGGTGAGGATCAAATTGTGTATTTATTTGGGTAAAAGTATGTATTGCACTCCTGCCGCTGATCGGTGCAAACTTAACATTCTTTCCCTAGGTTCAGTAGCGAAGAGGATGGAATTAGAGAGAGAAATGACTACCCGCATTGTTGATGTCGAATCAGTTGCCTCAGATGGAGACTTATGGCACTGTATCCGTAAACAGATGACTGCTGTTTCCGAAGAAACTATCGCGCATGCAAACTGTTGGCAACCCGATTGGTTTGATGATAACGGTGCGACCATTGGCGTACTGGTGTCGGCGAGGAAATGAACATTCGCTGCGAATGTGGATGACATTGCCGATTCGGAGAAGCATAGCCAGTTTCGCAAAATGCAACGGTGATTGGCTCTAGAGCTCAGTCACATTAAGAATGCATGGTGGACGGTGAAGGCGAACTAGATGTAAAGCTACGCCGAACGCCGTCAGTATAATGAATTATGTGAGTTCTCGTAGGCAGTGTGTGTACTAACGTTGCAGTCGTTCTGGATGTTGCTTCATCTTAGTTCAGACCATGCCTCTACACAGACTAGAGGCATATTGCAGCTCTGACGAAAGAGCTACTAGTGTCTCTTGAGCAAACCTTCAGACATTGAATGGACCAAGTTGCATGGGCTGCAATAACAAGAGAGTAAAACTTGCATTGTCAACACACGGACTCCGGTTGAGACTCAGAGAGATCTACCTGATCTGCGAACCTACTAGTCTGCCGGCACTGGCGGGAAGAATGAGTAGGCACTGTTGCACGAGAAGGAGAAACGCCGGGTACGGAAGAGACAGAAGTTGATGGATTTTAGACTGACGTCGAGCACATGTTGCTGTAGCATACGTGGTCGCCAGTACCCGAGCCAAACAGTTATGCTGATCCACTAGCGTGGACACGTGAGGCCAGCATCCAAAAGATGCCGAGCCAACTGACTACCTAAGCAAGTTCAGCCCAGCGATTTTATGAGCGATGCACCCGCTATCATTCAACTGTTTATCCCAGGCAAAATATGCGGCCAGCGTGGTGGAGGTGTCGCATCGCCTTTGCAGTTGGTCTGTACCTGAGTTTGTGTGTTCAGGTACTTGCATTCCATGGTTTGTTTGTTGCTTGATATCCTCGGTGCGGTTGCGCTTGATTTGAAAGTGAATGTTGTCTATTACCCACCAACTGGTCTATACTGGCTTCAGGAGACACTTGGTCTTCGCTGGAGTGACGGGGTGCACTTTCCAAGTGACCGTGCTGTGTTCGCATTGTGGTTCCATACATCCAATGTGAAACAAGCTACGGCCGCATCACCGCCTCATGATCTTCTGGTCTGTATGGTCTCGCAGTTAGGCATGAATGCATCTGCGTTACCTTTTGAGGGATAGTGGGCCGGCTACGTATATAAAACTTGGCTACCTCCAGGTCGTACTCCGTCAGTTTTTCACTGTATATAGGGTGTATGGATGTAGCTGTGGGTGGTACAGCACAAGTCACCCATGCTCACTCTGTATGCGCAGGCGTCCTGTGGCCCGCCTATGGAGGCAACAGTGAAAGGCAAATTTGAAACCAGATGTCGTCAGCCATATATTACTTGTGATAACCGTCGGGGTTTCTGACTTACGAAACGTTATCAAAATTTCCGACTTAAGTCCTCCGTAGCCACCTTATCGAAAAGAATCCCACAGTAGAAGAGACCATGCAAGTAACGCTTCAGAGTGTGGTTGTCGATTCAACATTTTCAAAAGAGGTGGTGATTATAATAGCGTCATATGTACCGCAGACCGATTATGACGCTGATTTGTTTACGCAAGTGAGTTTGACTAAGCGTATCGTTCCTTCCTCTTCGACCAACATGCGCGTGATGATGTCCCATAGAAATAGATGAAAAACTTTTCGCATTGTATTCAAACATTACAGGTCATCATAGATCTATGGCAAAGTGTCGGAGGTATTTCTGAAAAGAACTGGCCTCCCCTGGATTGCCACTCTCCACCATATTTGGTGAGCGCTGGCAAGTCAAGTTAAACCAAGATAAAATAAATCTTATGCACCAAAGTAGAAACATTTTCGATATTCTACACTATTAACAGAAATGAAAATATACGTGAAATTATAAACAATAATAAATACAGTGTCCAACATAATATATGTAAGCGTATGACTCAAGCAAAATACCAAGCATTATACTGACGATTCTCGTTAGGTCAACTGTTAGTCGTGGATAGTACGGTTAGATAGATTTATGATAAGAAGTAGTATTATAATTGAACTCCAAATTTACAGAGGGTAAACCCATAATATAGCGCTTCCTGTGTGTGAGCGCCAAATTTGCTGGGGACCGAGTGACACTTAAAAACCCGGTAGAAGGGAAAAAAGAAGCCTTTACGTTAACTACGGTAATAATCAAATAGGAAGCAAAATACAATATTCACATACATCGATAATACAGACCATTTGCGAAACAACCAGCTTTCACAAT